TAACTTCAAACTGATTTCAGCGTTGCTTTCAGAAACAGAAAATGCATTTAAAGCCATCTTGTATCCTTGGTAAAGCATGAAGACAAACATGAGAACAAACATTTTTATGGAGCTTTATTTGACAGCACGTTGAGGAGACAGACAGGTCAAATTCAAGGATGATGTGATTTTCCCCCCCTTTTCCCCCCACTTTTCTACTTCTTTTGCTCTGGTTATCTCTGCATGGACCATTACATGCTGGATCCAACAGATCTAACCAGTCGATGGAAAACCCCACAGAGGACAGACAGAGAGTGAAGAGAGGGGGTGGGAGCACGGCACTACACACACACTTCACACATCAGTCAGACAGCCCTCTAGTCAGGAGAACCCCTGGCTCACCTTCACACAGATTCACAGATCACACACACACACACACACAGAAGTTGTGCTGACATGAATCTACGCATTCACTTTGACTCACATAAACATGCCTCCCCCTCCATGCAAACACACACACACACTTCAAAGCAAGATTGTAACCTGACAGGACGGCAACACCAAGAACCCACATACAGCTTTTTTCCTAATTCTTCTTCTCAGAAACCCACCTGTTTCTTACAAACTTTCATGTCACACCTCTCTCTCTCTTTCCTTGTTGTAAGATCTCTCTTTCTCTCTCTCTCTCTGTGTGTGTCTGACATACACTCTCAGGCAGCGTACGTATGCTGGTACTCAGGCACTGTCTGTCTGATGTTCTCGCCGTCTCATCCTACACTGTATGCCCTTATCAGAGGATTATACACACACTGAACCATGTCTTAACTAGACACAATGTAGCCATGCTCCTGCCTGTACAACTGGGCAGATGTGAACCGCAGCGCTCTGTAATCTTATCTGAAACATGCGGCTGAGCTGATGAGCCTGTATGCTGGCACCGATCTATACATGGCAATGTCTCCTTGATGTGAAATGCAGCTGGAGACATGAAACAGTTTAAGACAAATCTGACAGAACTGGTGTTTCCCCAGTGTAAGGCAAACATAGGCCAGTTAAAGGGTACAGTCTGATTCAGTACTGTATTAGGTCAATCAGGCGTTGCTGAGCCATTTTTGCTTTATTCCCCAGCATGCACACAGTAGGGGGTTCAAGCACGTACCTCACTCTCGTAACCTTATGGAGCCTGTTAGAGCACTTAACCTGTGTTAAGTAGAACAAAGGTTACTACACATTTTGTATGGGGTAAATTCCTACATCACACGTGGTCCCCAGGTAATTCTAGTCTTGTGCAAAGAGGGCTTAAGGTGTGCCAAGGTAGTTCAAAAGACTGACAAGTTACTGAGCTAGGGTTACTGAATTATGCTCAAGTTTCACTCCACTTTCAGAGTATTAGCTTAATCTGATTACACTAGAATTATTAGAATACTTACAAAAAGACACACACGCAGATTGATCAAACAATCTCACCTAAAGGCACATTTAGTAGCTCTTCGGTACCTTTTGATCAGACAACAAGATTATCCTCAGCAGATCAAGTTTGTCCAGTTGTCATGGAATTAACTATTCTAGGCCCTGCCCCATAGTTACTTTTGGTGCGCCTGTCATTCTGTTAGTTTTTGCACCTCACATGTGTAGTTTACAATGATACTGGGGGCAGATATATCCCTAACGAAGGGTCATAAATGTTACACAGAACTAAACAACAGCAGGCTTTACAATTGTAGCCGGCAACCAGCTGAAATCATAAAAACAGCCGGCATATTTTATCACACCTGGCTAGCTTATTATTCCTTCATGAATTGATTGAAAAAATAAGGGACTTAAATATGCCTTTGATGGACCTACATAATATCATACTAAAAGACTGAGGAGCTGGAGACGGGTTGCAAAGAGGCTTGCAGAGGAAGCAGCTTGAAATAAGGTGCCCTGTATCATATTTACCAGTTGGATGCTTGAAGGGAATCAGCTGAACCATCGGCTGATGTGGGTTGTTTACAGTGGGCTGATGTACCTGGGATTGTGATCTGACCTTGACTTGTGTGGCCTGCCTGAGCTCTGCTATGCTCAATATTTAAGATCACACAGTTATTTAGTTCTGACATTAGGCCTCCTTTGATGCTTGGCTTACAGAAAAAAAACTTAACTTAACCCAGCATTACAAGAGAAAATGCTTTGAGGGTAGGAACTAACCAATGTTTTTGGCTAACTTAATGCTTAATGCTATGGCTGGGGTTCCTGAGTGTAAACTACCCAAATTAGAACAGAGTCGCTTACAGTGGATATGCCAATTCTGAAAGAGGTTTTTTGTAACCTGTAACCCCACAAAATATTGTAGTTAGCCATAAATATGCTGCTCACTAGTAACTCGGAAGTAAACTAGTTAGATGGACAAAAATGTGCATAAAAACACACTGTTCACTTCCTCCTTATACATGTTTTTGGTTTTAGAAAGGCTACAAAATAAGACATTACCCTCCAAACTCTTTGTATGGCTAATACTGACTCTGGCTACAGCCGCATACACACCAGTTCAAGATGTGGTCACATTTTCCTATATTATCATAAAATGTTCATGAAATGATCAAAAGCTCCAGAACAGCTGCTAATTGGACTTTGAGGTGATAATGTTTCGTTAACTGCTCCAATAGGATTCAAAACAATTTTCCCTTATAGTTTTCCCTGCCTTCTTTAGCCCTCCTCTTTCTGTATCTGTAGCTTTCTTTCTCTCACCCATGCCAGAGTGACATCTGGTAATTTCAGTCTCAGGTGTCATAAGAACAAGGAATGACTCACCCAAGACAGGCGGATGAAGAGAGAGATAAAGGATTGATAAAGGGGAGGATGAAAGAGTGTAGCGGTGCATTCGGCCTGCCAGTCACTTGTCTAATTGCAGTGTCTGTCAGAGGAAGCGCGTGCTGTCTCTTCACACGGATGACTATGTTATTTTTTCTCCTCCTTTCCCATTACTCCCATCACTCTGCCTATCTCTTAACTGAACCATACTCGGAACCATTTGTCATGTCTCTCTCTCATTCTTGCTGTTCTTATGTCTGTCTTTTTTCTTTCTTTCTTTGTGTGGCACATTGTTTAGGTCAGTTAAAATTAAGATACAGAGGTAAATATTCTACTCACACTAAATTAAAAAAATTATAAAGTTACACAGTTAAAGTTATACCATATGTTGTTTCCATAATAACAGTGGAAACAAGAACCATTTGAAAATGCAAAAATGCATGAAACTATTTTACCTTTTTTTTAAATAAATTCAAGAAAACTAGGCTTTTATCATTGTTAGAGTAAAACATAGGTGTCTCTCACTAAAAGAATTTAAGTAATTTAGAATGGCTTTGACCGTCAAGCTTGAAAAAGTTTGACCAGAAATTTTAATGTCAGATATGTAAAACATGGAGGCTTTTGTAGTTTAATGATTGTTATCAGTATGGTTAGTTAGCAGTTAAAGTTCCAGCGTGTAACATTTATCAGGATCTACTGGTGGAAATTAAAATAATACTAATATTTATGTTTTGTGTACAAAAACCTAAAATTATTATTATTTTTTTGTTATCTTAGAATGAGCAGTTTTTTATCTACATAGGGAACAGGTCCTTTTCCACGGAGTCCGCCATCTTGAACCGCCATTTTTCTGTAGCCCCGAAAAGACAAACCAAACACTGGCTGTAGATAGGCCCTCTCACACCACCATATTTTCTCCTACACACTTAAAAGGTGAGCTATATTCAGTTGGTTGCACCACTAGATGCCTTTAAATCCTACACACTCGTCCTTTAAAAACACTGAGTCTCTTACGGGCTTCAGAGGTGTGTAACTGTAATAGTGCCTGGATTCTTGCTCCCTGGATGGCATCAACTGAAAATAAACTTTGCTATAGGGATTGGTTCATAAAATGGTCTTTAGGGGAGAGAAAGCGAAGCATGCAACCTAGCTCTTTTTTTCTTTTTTAGGCAGCCAGTTTTGTGGTCCACAGTCCTTGTCAGCAACAGCAAAGCAGTCATTTAGGAGAACTGTACAGACATTCCCATTCTTTATTATTTGCTTAATCAAGGCTGCTATCTCCTTGCACACAAGTTGCTTTAGTATTCAGACAACGCAATTCTTGCAGTATGGAGAAACGAACAGCAAATAGTGTTAGCTACAGCAGCTCATATCCTGTCTTAACAATCTCTTTATGTTGCTGCATGTTGCCATCTGCAGCTACAAGCGCAAATGGAAAGTCACAGGTTGCATTGTGTCAGCTGCTTTATATGAATCAGCCGTTGCAAATCTTGTGATATGTGCCAGCCAGTCATACTACTCAACATATGCTTGACTTTGAAGTCTTGAAGTACAAACAAGATGTTAAATAATTTGACTCTCTGGTTCTGTTTTTAACAGGCTTTAGGGGCTTTGTCAACCAGGACAACAATGCAATTGTTGGTTTCTCAATAACATTATATGAAGAGTCTGCAATGTGCATGTTTGTGCTATTGGATGGATGTTAAAGGGGCACTACAGTTATATTACATGTTAAAGTCAATTTACTAGCATATTTATTATGTATTCTGTGTAAGCAATTGAGACCAGCAGCAAGAAAATTGGCTATTTCTTATTATTCATACCTACCACAGATTCTGTCAAATTCCCCTTGAAATCAATGAAACGAGGCTGTGGAAACACTACCACTTTCGTCCACAGGGGCTGGCAGAATCAGCACATAATTCCTTGTCGCTGCTTTAATTCAGTGAATCAATAATAATTCCATTGGTCTTTTAACACCCACAATCTTTTGGGTGAGTTTACTTGTTTTAGCTCACAGAATGTGTTTGACCAGGAAAAGATTGTTTCATCACCGACGCATAAGACACAAGGCCATTTTACAGTTCAATGCTTTACCCCTTGAATCAGACTGTGAGAACAGAAAACAGCACGTTATACTATGACAACACAATAAATAAGAAAAATCTTTGGTGGCTTGTTCTGGATATTTTTTTATTTTATCTCATACCTGTAAAAATATATTCTCAAAATAAATAAATATATGAAATAAATATACTGTATGTCCTAGGAAACAAAAACTCATAAATAAGAATAAAATCTGAAAAAGGTTTGTAAAGGTGTCTCTGTCAGTCCCGTGCTCGTTGTTTGACTGCAGTCAGTGGGAGAACAACACAATTCCTTCACTGGTTTCTAGAACAAGTCTTTAGTTCCAACAGAACAAGCAGTAAGATGTCCTCATAAATCTCCATTGGATCTGTACTTCTTCTCTTGTTCCTCATGCACTTTGTAGAAAAGTCATATTTTCTGAGCAGCATGTGTCTTTGGAGCAGTTTCCATCCATGCCATCAGTCTGATACAGGTAATGCCCCAAGCTCTCAGACCCGTTTCCCAGGACAGACATGGCTGCTTTCCAGTGCATAAAACTACCTTTTTTTGTGTAAACCAGCCACACTGTATAGTGGATTTTGCATTCTAATAAATCATTTACTTAGCAGCCACAGTAGTGTTTCAAATAAAATTAAAAAGGCCTACTGAAAACATTGGAATTGACAAGACTCACCAGCCACAGCAGTGAAAAGCTAGTAGCAGCCAGATGTTAATCTCACCTATTAGTTCCCACACTTTTGTCCTCTTGCACATGCAGTTTGGACTAGCAGGTAGTCGTATTTAATTAGTGGAAACTCAAATCCATTATTTATCTGTTTGGCCACCAGGGCCTCTGCATAGGCCAATAAAAGGGCAATATTAGGGGCCCAGCTACCCTCTGTGTCTGTCACGGGGCCTTCACATCTTCCACAGAAGATCCCTGATGCTGTTCAATCAAACTCCCCGGCTAGTCTGCTTCTGAGAGGGTCTCTTTACTTCCTCCATGCCAGTGTTGATTTGGTGCACTTTTTATGATCCTGTTTTGTCCAGACCAACAAGATTTTCCGTCTCCCTCAAGAAGGGGCTAGGTCTAGGTGTGTTGGGTTGCTTTTCAGCACAGAAAGGCTCTGACAAGGTCAAGGTAACCTCCCTTCAGTCTCAGCTCTGACCCAGTATGTCCCTGTACAGCTCCGGTACTCTATCCGGGTCTACGGGCCTCGGTAGGAAGTGAGTGAACCTCTGATGTCGCCTCGATCTCGTTCCATCGCGGGACGTCCCGTCTTTGTTCAGAGCAACAAAGTAAAATGCACCTTTTTCTCCATGCCGGTAGATGTTGGACGAGTAGGTGTTGTACCAGTTTTCTTCAAATTGCTCCCTAAAAACACATTCTGCAGACAGCTTCTCCTGCAAGAAGAAAGACAAGCAGAGGAAAATATGAGTTTAGTGATGCAGAATGTGCCACCTGCTGGCCATGGCTTACACATCAGATATGTTGAGAATTAACTGCGTGTTGTAGCGTGCACAAGAGTGCGTGTACTCACCGATCCGTACAGATCTCCCTTGCTGTTCATGGCGAGGTAGAGGCCACTGTCCACCCCTCTGATGCTAACCAGTCCCACAGCCAGACTGATGAACTCCAAAATACCTGCACACACAACACATTACATTACTTTACATTACATTTACTTGGAAGACACTTTTGTTCAACATGACTTAAAATAACACTTACAATAACATCATTAAAGCCTTTGATAACACACACAAACATGATTTTAAATAACATCTTTTAAGCATGGATATAATATGGTGTCAGTCCTGCTAAGGTTTTTACCACAATATCCTACAATTATATGTATGTGTGAAATCATTTACATATAAATTAAAATAATAACATTAATATAAAAACATATCTGAATAAAGTTAACAGTAAGACCAAAATCCACACCAGCTGACTCTGACAAGCAAGGCTGAGTGTCTGGAATGGCATGAAGTTAGGTCCAAGTCTCAAATGGAATGAATTGAAGTGCCAGAAGTGCTACAGCCTTGCACTGCAGCACTAAAGGAAATCTCCAAGAGATCTACTTTTGATCTTCTGTAAGCCTCAGCTGTTTATCTTGATAACTGGAGATAAGCTAGTAAAAGGAACGAAAGGCTTTCAATCTAATCTCAAAAAGGAAATGTGGTGGAACTGTGCAAACATAAAATACTCAAAGTGTCACACCTGGAAAGCTTATTTATCTTGAAATCATTTTTCTCTGGACACATTATAGCACCCACTGGTAGTACCACAGACTGTAGGGTACTACATATACTATCAGCACTTTCTGTTAGTTAGTAACCTGTGTGGCTGGAGTAGTATGGGTCATCATCATGTGACATTAATGGTTTTTATGGTTATATAAATTGTGTACTTCAGTGGGTTGAAATGGTGCAGCTATGTTCCCCTATGCTGTGAGCTGGAACCTCCATCACCTCTTCTCTCATTTAAATCAAATTACTCTTTACTATACCAGCAAGACGTCTCAGAATAGACTATTCTTACTAACCTAGACCTACAGGCTACCACTAATAACAATAATAACCATGTGTATAAATGTGAAGGGGTCTTTACCGAATCTGCTGTGGTCCTTCCTGGTGCCCTGCACAGTGCCGTCGGGACGGATCTCCAGGTGGAAGCCGGTCCTGCAGTACAGCTGCCGCCGCCTCAGAATCCCCTTTAGATGGCTGAGGTCCGCCAGGCTCCGGGACAGCCTCTCCGCGGACACCAGGTGCTCCTGCTGCTGCCCCTGTCCCCCCATCATCAGTCCGGTTGCCGAGTTATAGTCCACCGCCCCGGCTGGGGTGAGAACGAAATGAGAGCCGACGGCAGCCGGAGCGGCACCCGTGTGGCCAAAGCTGTCCAGAAATCCGTTAGCGAAGGTTCCAACCTCCGCTGCCGCCCCCATCACAGATAAGACACCCGATCCGGTTCACAGCACACAGGAGATCCAAGTCGAGGTCCAAGTAATGTGCAGAGAGAGTCTCGGTACGAGCCAGTGAGCAACGGGTCAGCCCGAGAAGCGGAGAAAAAGAAAAGTTGGACGTGCGGGTGGAGAAAATCCCCAATGAGTGCGCGTTTTTGCGCAGTCACCAGCACCGTTAATTAGACTGTCATCTAATTGGGATTGAACTCCCGCGTTATCTGGATGTATGCAGGTATCCCCGGTTACAGCCGCCTGTGTCCCTTCTTCTCTCCTCTCTTCTGCTATTTATCCCTCTCTCCTGTCCTCTGCCCGCTCCCTCTCTCTCCTCTTCACCTCGGGATACTCCCCTTTGCTCCGGAGCACTTCAGGGTTTCTCTCTCTCTCTCTCCTCTCTCTCTCTCTCTCTTCTCAATTCACTTCAGCCTTTAATTTCTGCGGTACCCTCCGCTCTGTCAGCACAGCAGCAGTATGCAGCACAGTGAGACCAGTACTCACTGCACTCCTCATATAACGCACTGCTCCCTATGGAAATTCACCCCGAGTTGCCTTTTTATGCAAATGCGCCCCGATCTCCTCCCTTTATGGCTCATTTCTGTTCCCGTTTGAAATAGTGCCGATCCCTCTGCTCATAGTGTTCCTGCATCACCTTTGATGTTCAGTTTCAGTGCAGAGAGCGCAGGGACTTCGAGAGGAAATTAAAAACTCCTAATAAAAATGTGCCTGACAGGCTTATATCCCCCGTTTCCCCTTGCAGCACAACGGCCTGACTGAAGCTCTTGTACAGTCGCAATGTCATAGCCGGTGCCGGTGGACACCTCAGCTGTTCTACATTGAACCGAGTCACAGGGGAGTGCGCAACTCAACAGCAACTTGTGTGAAATAGACATAGACAGAAAGAGAGAGTGTGTGTATGTGTCAAACAGCATGAAAGTGATATTGCCATTACCCTAAACGCTTTACAACCACACGCCCCCGTTTCGAAATGACTCAGGTGCGGCGGGAGAGAGAGGAAAGCCCCCATTTGCGTAATTTTCGCACTCTGTTGCTGTTGATTTATTGGCCCTATTTTATGTAACCCAGCCGCACGTTTACAGCGCCGCACAGACACAAACACACACACACAATCGTACCCTAGGACCCACACACACCTGTGCAAACGACATCACTTGACTGTCAATCCCTTCATTGATCTTTCCACGATGCTTTGAACAGCGCAGGAGCCCATATATCCTTAATTGTGGTCTTAAAAAGACGAATCAAAGACACAGATGCTTCAAAGTGCAGGGATCTTGTAAGGGGATCAGGCGAAAACAGCCAGAAGAAGGGAATATACCTGTTTGAACTGCGAGCTCAGATAATACCCCGACACTTGAAGGGCTTCGGAAAAAATAAGTAGCTGTTAATTCTTTATGTAAATAAACGGAGTTTGCTATGCATATCTTTATATTGATCATAATTTCATCAATGATCATAATGACCATTCATTGACCTGACTGACTGGTCATAATGTATCACTTATAGATTTATAAGAAAACCCTTAAAGATTTTAAATTCAATTATGCTTTGTTGGCATTTTTACATTTATTTTAGGCTACTATTAAAAGTAAAATGGGGTTTGGACTTTTTTTTATTTTATTTTACCACTTTTCTGTATTTAAGCCATGTGATTGGTTCAGCTCTGCGTTGCTTGACCATGAGGTCAAACAGCAGTTTAGGTTTGATTCTGTGCTTGTATCTGCACAGTGGCACAGGGGCCCATGTTCCAGCCTATATGTGGCATTGATTTTGGCAGCCATACACGCGCTTATGCGCACTCAAACGCACGCGCGCACACAGCTGCCCCCTCCCTTGGGAGCTGCGTTGATAAATGAGTTGAAGGTGCAGAGGTGTTTCTGTGTGTGTGTGTGTGTGGTCGCCATACGCAGGTCATTTTGTATTAATGTCGATTTCTCCAGCATGACAGGAGGACAGAGGCATTGTGGGACAACCGTATTTATTTATTTATTTTTGCTGTTGTGTTGGTCTAGTTGTATATGTAGCTATTTTGTCGTGGGTGTACATTGCTTATGAGCATGTGTGTGTGTGACACAGACAAACTGAGTGGGCATCTATGCGTGTGGCGACCGTCCTTCTCCCTCTCTCCCTCGCTTCATTAGTATTTATGACCAGCGGAAAAAAAGGGAACTTTTTTTTTTTTTTTAAAGGAGACAAGATCGATCGGGATCGCCTCCAGGCTGATCAGATCCTGATACATTGGATATCGACCTGGCCGCAATGAAGTCAACGACAATACCACGCAATTTCCACGCAAGCTTACAAGGTGCAAGTAACCAGTTCCCAGGGTCACATGGTTTGCTTTAAAGTATATTTTCTATAGGTTTACTGCTTTGTTTGTGACAGAGTGAAGCCAACCATGTAGCAGTCATGGAGGAGGAGGCCCCCAAGGGTTCTACCCCCCACCCCTCACCCACCCACACTCACACACACACACACACACACACACACACACTTATACAACAGGACGCACACAACACACCACACAACACACACACAAAGAAATTACAACCTAATCGAATGCCTGGGTAATGGAATAACTGAATAAGTAGCCTAGAGGTTATTAATGCAAGTGGTTTCCAAACCAGGGTCTGGGAACTCCAGGGGTCCTTGAGAGCAGGAGTCAGAAGGCCCCTATCAATATATATACGTAATCTATATGGCAGTTAGGAAATGCATAAGCATATAAGATTTTTATGTTGCTAGGTAAGTCCTGAGTTTAAAAATCAACCACAACAAAGGCTTTGTGATTTATTAGACAAACTGTTATAAGATAAGGGTGTGCAAGGTTGTTTCTGTTTGGAGATCTGTTACATGTAAATTATTTTAAGTATGTAAATGTAAATAATGCATTTTCAAAGGTGTTAAATTAGCTGTCAAAATTGCGGGCAATCAACTTCTGAGGATTTGCTTTGCAGGTCAATTTTACATTAATTATTTAACATTTCTGTCTCCATTAGTCAACCAGTTAGGGATCTCATTGTCATGATAGTCACCATAATAGGCTGATCTTGTTTGGCTTACAAACAAAATAAAAATCAAAGCAACAAATAAAGGGCTTAATAGCTATATAATTGACCTTTTAAGGGTTTCATTCTACCAAGTGGTTTTTGGTAGTCATTGTTTGATCTGTTTTCAACTTTTGGCTAACTGAAGCTTATAGGTTGAGCCACCTCGCCTCATGTGTGAACAGGTGACAGGCCCATCTATTAGACTTCTCCCCTTTATTCTCTCAGCATCAAAGTCACAAGAAAAGCCCCATGAGTTTAACATTACTCCTACATGTAAAGACTTAAATGAAGAGTTCAACTTTGATATTCGTTTGATATCTGCTCTCCATTGGCTCCTTTGATCCTGCACTTCCCATTGGAAATTTGATAGCACACTGACCCTCAATGAAAAGAAGAAGATTGACAAATGTTGATATCATTGGCCACTTGTAATTTCCCCCATGTAAACTGAGATGTATTTCAAGTCTGTTCCAAGTTGTAGACTTGTTGTGAGATATCTGAGGTAATAGACCTAACAAATGTGGCTCTCTCTGACTGGTTTTGAATGTGATTTACCAGATTTTGCATGTGTATCACAACATGCAGTCAGTTTGCCAGTTCCTCATGAGAGTAGCCTTGTGCAGTAGTAAAGTACATTTAATACAACTCTGAGGTGGTTCTTTACTTATTTATGTTTTATGTTACTTTATACATTTGAGAAGTTCTTATGGAAGGAAATGCGGTAGGGCTATGTCTGATCAGTTTATAAAATACAACCTAAAAGCAGCCTACAACAAAAGCTTCAGTTCCATTAACATGAAAATACAGCTTATGCAGTAACAAATCAATAATAATATAATTAACAATAAGTCTGACATGGGCATTCCTTCTGCTTACTGTGTGTTTCTGTTTTTGATATTCAAGTGCAGATAATCATTTTGTAGGCCAATTTTACTAAAGTACACACAAGTATTTTAAAACTGTTTCATCCACCACTGGTAGTAAAATAGGATCTCCAGTCGACAGACAGATTTGATGTATCAACTTTAAAGTCATGTTCATATGAATTTGATGTTTTACTGAATGTGATTGGTTAAACTCTATTAATGTAAACAGGGTGAACTGAGTCCACTGTTCAACTGACTGACTACATTCCTGTTTATAAATGACCTCGGTTTCAAATGAATCACCCACTCTCAGTCAGTGAAGCATCAGATCCTCTCTACCCAGTGTGAGACTTTGCCCTCAGCCTCAGCACCAACACCATGACCGCACATCTCGCGATGACAGCGAGGAGCCGCGATAGTTAATGCAAAGTTATAATCACAGCAGCGCAGCGGCGGCAGCAGCAGCAACAGCAGCAATGGCCGCTTTCCGCAGAGTGGCATCGCTGGCCGGTAAGCTAAACCTCTGGTCGGCGGCTAGAAACGAGCTCGTCGGCGGCCAGACGGCCAGCGGAGGAAGGGCACGGAGGTGTCTGGCTGTCGGGATGTGTCTTGCAACGGGGGGAGCCGTGGCGCTTTACTTCTACAACGATATGACGAGCGGCGGAGGCAGGAAGAGGATGTCGGGTCACAGCATCAACGCGTTGCTGCCGTCCATCCCGACCGTGGTGGCCAAGGACAAGGTAGGAGGCTGACTGACAATGGCGTCTGACTGGTTACAGTAACGAGTGACAGTGACACGTAGCGACTTGCTTGGTCGTTGGAGAAAATGTGCTGTTGACAGTGTTTACAAAGGGCTCTCGGTGGGACGGACTGGGAGTGAAAACCACAGACCACTGAGAGAAAAGGCAGAGAGTACATTCACGTCTCCTTCCGCCGACATTAGACCACGTAGGCCCAGTCAGGCGGACGTACTGCTGTTTTGTAGCCATGGTGTTTTCTCTGGCGGTGAACATGTTTCCCTCTCGGGTGGATGAACTGTGTCATTCACCGCCAGCACGCGCAGTGGAAACACTTGGCTCACTGTTTGAGGTTGGACGGGGTGCGCGCGCAGATGCAGGAAAGTCGCTCTCCGCTCGAGCTGGTGCTGAAATGACAACACGTTGATGACGTTACTGTCAGCTGGATGCGTTCAAGGACTGTTTGAGCAGAGTAACACTGTAGATATAGATTATTACTATTTATAAGTTTATTTCTACATAAAGAGAACCTGAATTTTAGTATGCAGCACTGCGTTGTAAAAGGACAAATTACCTTGTTTTATTGTATCCTTGTATAGGTTACAGAAGTTACCGAGTAGTTAGTAAGGCCTATTTATTGAATGGCTTAACTTAGTAGTTCCTGTAGTTTGACTACTTAAGTTAAATGTTGAGTTACTCCAGAGCAGACAGCTGGATTCAGTGACCTAGAATCCAGTGGTGAGAGCAGTAGTCAGATCCTTCAGATCCTTTAGCAATACCACTAATTAAGGATTCAAAAGGTTTTACTTTACTACTTTTAGCAACAAAATGTACTTAAAGTATCCAAAAGATATAATAATTACTCATTACTCATTAAAATGTAAGCAGCGTTTTGATGTTGCAGCTAGTGGAGCTAGAGCGAATCTTGACTACTATACACAGCTTTTGTAAAATGATTAAATGTCTTGAATAAAAAATATCTTTAAAGTAACTGTAGCCATCAAATAAATGTATTGTAGCAAAGAATACAATGTATTTCTGGCTGAAATGTAGATGGTAGAGTAAAGTAACATTAAATTGATATAATTAAGTACAAGTCCCTTAAAATTGTACTTAAAGACAGTACTGTACTTAGTTACTCTTGACCACTGCCAGTATCTAACAATTCTTTCAGAGTACAGCTGAAGCAATTAGGTCATTGATACTATAGGAGTAATTATTTATAGTAGTTCTGCATAGCACGTCAAAAAAAGTGACTCTCTTTCCCAAAACCCAAAGTGTTGTTGTCCTAAAATGTCTTGTTTTGTTCACAACCCAAAGATATCCAGTTTACTGTCATAGAGGACGAAAGAAACCTGGAAATGAATATTTTACAGCTGATGTTGCATGATTACTGATGCTGATATATGCACACATTTTTTTGACAATAAACAGGGCACATCTGACCTATGTCACAAGGTGCAAAACAAGTAAATAAGTGTTGTCTCTGTTCAAAGGGCTCATGTGGAAGTAATGTCATTTTACAACTGTACAGCAATTAAAGCCAACTCAAATGACATTGATACATTAGTTAACATCAACATTGATGCCTACATATGCTTTACAGATCGTTGCTTAAACTCAATGATATATTAACTGAATAAATGTATTCAGAAACAGGATGACAGATTGCAACTCAGGTAAGGCCACGTCTGAAAAATACCTGTGACTAGGCATCGTACAGCGTGTGGCTTAATGTAGTCTACAAATCCCGACGTCTTCAACAAAGACCAACAGATGTCTGTCCGGAGCGGGACACTAAACGAGGCGCTGATTGATGCCTTTGGCCCTGGGGAGTTGTGGTCCTATTTTTTGGCTGTCCTTAAAGACCGGAGAAGAAGCTGCTGACAGCTCTGTTTCTCTTCATTTTTCACAAATCTATTGTAATGATCAGGATGACAGCTCTTAAGATGGTTTATTACATTTGTATTGTGGATGGAATGGCCGACACTGAGCAATCATTTCAAATAGCATCTCTTTCTGAAACGTTGACCTCCACGCCACAGTCATGCTTGTCCCTCTTTTATGCTCACAGACGTGGTGACGTCATCCGGGTGGCACAGCGTTATACATTTAGCTTAATGGTATAATTCAAGCGCCATCGACCTGTCGTATCGGAAGAAATTGCTGATCCAGGGTTTCAATTTGAAGCCTATAACGTGCCTATATCCTCATGCATCCCTAATCAGTTATCAGAATTGATTAATGGACTAATTGTTGCAGCTCTAGTTTATGCATACCCTACTTTTACTTATTATCTGAGCTTGTTCAGGAAATGTGTATTTTGTTAGAGTCATTTTGAGAGTAAAGTGAGAATGATTGGTTCAATAAGATGCAGCTTCAGCCTACATATTTTGGGTCACTGTTAGCTCTTCTTGACATTGATTGATTGATTGATCTTTTACACACTTTACACACACAAAGGTTCTATTGACAGAAAGTGAGTATAATATTCCTAATCACCTGGAAATAAGAACCATTGTGTTTTTGTTACCTTAGAATCAGCTATTTTTATCTCCAGAGGGAGCGGGTCCTCTTCTACAGTCTGTCATGTTGAACCACCATTTTTCTACAGTAGCCCAGTTCGGACAAACCAAACCCTGGCTGTAGATAGGGCCTTTCAAGTTTTTCACCAGTTTTGGTTATTTAGCTTTACAATTGGGTATATGTAGATACAGTCTGGTCTGGCCCTTTATTTAAGTAAATGAGTGCACTCAGTTAAAACTAAGTAGTAAATCAATCTAAAACCTTCTGTAATGTAAAGTACTGTGTATTAAGGTTTGAAATGTAATGTGAGCTTGTGAACTGTTAGGTGTAGTGTTGGGAAACAGGATGAAGGAGTTAAAAAGCAGGGGAGCTAGCCCATAAGAAGACAAGCAGGCTTCCTGACTGGGGAACAAGTTTGCTAGATAACTTGTGAACAGGACAACTCCAGTGGGGAAAGGGAAAAACTACCATCTGTTACTCCGTAAAGGAAGCCTGTAGGGACTCTGAATAATTAGGTTGAAAGAAATTGGGCGCACTCACCTGCAAGGAAAGAGAACCAAGCCACAGTGAAACATACATTCTTACATGCTTGAAAATAAGGCAGTAATTCTAAAAGGAAAACAAGAAAACCATACAGCCAGGAAACATCCAGATTCTGAATGGCTGAAAAATAATAATAATAATAAGAAAATAAGAAATAAAAATAAGAAAACGACTGCCACTTGTATGAAT